ATGCCTTGCTGTCCATTTATCGCCCCAAACCATTACACTCATCATGCCAAGATCACACATCACATGGGCTACCTTACCCAAACATATCCTCATTGACATATTCAAAAAAGTTCCAAATGGTAAACGGGGATGGAATCAAATCCTACTCACAAGAGTTTGTAAACGTTGGTACAAAATCGGTAACCCAATGTGAGTATCATGTCTAAGATTAAATGTTTGAGTACATTGCTCACAAGTGCTTGGGCAGATTCTGGAAATTGATCCGAGTCTATGGCATAGTAGCCTTGATTCAACTGAACATGGTGGCTGTAGCCTGTCCAGACCTGGCTGTGTTGAACAAATTTCTTTACATATATGATACCAAATTTTTTTCCCACATCTCAGAAGATTATTGGAACTCTTTGTCGGCTGAAGAAAAAGGGCCCGCTGCTGCATTTGTTTGGCCCTCAGGTTTTTATAATTTCAACTGGATTCCCAACGGGTCCGCCTATCTCAAGCGTTAATCACGTATCATTTGTATTTCTCTTATGAAGTTGGTAAATAACATCACAGTTGTTCCCCCCTTACCAGACATGGCAACACACCTAAACAACACGCAAGTAAGAAAAAGAGAAACAAAACCAGAGAAAACAAAATAAACATTTCAAAGGTCAATAGCTTTGAGTATGATACCGCCCCTTGCCAAATTAAATACATGAGCAGGTAATATGCAATAAGCAACCACCGCTTTCACATCCTTGATGTTAAGAAAAAAGGTCACATCTTTCTTTACCTCCCCTACAACACATCCCATGATGTGAAGGTAGTACCAAAAGTTCCTTGATAGGCCCATAGTCGATTTGGGGTACATGTCAAGGATGGGTTCCACCAGAATAGCCTCTTCAACTCCACCTGTTCCATTGTCAAACCGGTAAACCTGCTTAACCATTGCAAACTTCCTTTTATTACTGCGATCCAAATACATCACACAGTTGTTTGGCTTCTTTGGTGAGATTCCAAACACTTTCAGACCGTTCTGGACTTTTACTGTCATTGTTGATGTGGCAAACGGCAATAGCACTTTGGAGCCGGAAGGATGAGGTGCGTCGTTATAATTTCGCAAGTTGGGCTTAGTCTTCTTCAAATGTTCCAGGAGTTGATCATAAAGAGTTTCATCAATGCAAATTGCTGCTGTTTCAACGTTTTGGTTGAGTACTTCCCGTTCCGGAGGCGGATGATCTTTTGTAAATCTTTACAGGGTGCATATCTGTTTCATCATAGTCCCATCCATTTGATCTGAAACACGCAGATCACGACAAGAGTATCAGTTACTAACTCATATCCGCTTTTTATATACCTGATTGACTTACGTAGTAAATGGGTGGTCTTGAACTTTTGTAACATCCCATTAATCCGCTCCCCTGCAAACTCCGAGACCCCCATTAAAGGACCCCAGTACATCATCATATCAGGGATGTGCAGCGCGTAGTGATGATTAGGAAGCACATGGAGGCTGTTGTACTGTTGAGCCAAGGTTTTGCCGTAGATCTGGTACATTCGGCGAAATTGATCAATCTTGTACTCTGTGATGGTTCTTGACAAGACTAATTGAGTACATTTAACCAGACTTGCGATGTTGCGTATGATGGTGTGACGGTTCAAGGTTACAGGAACGTCCTCAACATCAAGCACCAGAAGTTCCAAGATGACCAATGGGATGACGTAAAGAAACAATGATTTCCACTGACTCGCCTTCAGTTTTCCGTGAGACACATCACCAAGGTGTTTTGGAATTCTTTCTACACCCAATGGTAATATGACGTGTTGTAACAATTTCCGCAAATCCATTAACTCACGTGTGGAGAAGAGGCTCTCATCAGTGTCTGCCTTCAGATCAAAATCGTCTTCCCAGGAGTCATTCATACTAGCATTCTCACTTTCACTATCTAAATCTTCATCTTGAATCATTTTTGCCTGACGAGAGGGAGTTTTCGATTTTCCTTTGAACCCCCAACGATGCCTGCAGTGATGTTGAAGAACTCCTTCGAGCCAGTTGTGCATGATACCCACTGCGACGTGATCAACTGGATGTCGGTAAGGTAGGACATTAAGCGCCGAGTGTTGGATTCCAAAATTGGTCACCAAGTCTTTCTTTTGATTCAATGTAGGAGCTTTGAGCCATGCCTCAGCGTGTGCCAGGACCTCTTTCTTTGTTCTCTTCTTACCGAGGAAGAGATTAACTCTTTCGGAAGCAGTGCAGTGACACCACGAGCAGAACTGTGCGGCCAAGTGTGAGGCATAACTGGCACACTTGTGAACTGCTACAATATCACCAATAATAACCAGCAGTCAAGCATGCACCATGCGGCCTTCAGGAAAGTTGTAAGTTTTGATTTTCACACCTTCCTCAAGAGTTAATAAGTTGTCTATTAAGGGTTTCATCACATGCTCTATTGTGGTCATGTTGGGTTTGTGTGGTCCAGGGATGATTCCAGTGACACAGGTGTTCTCGATTAGGTTTCTTGTTAACGGTGGAAGGGACGGAGAAGTCAAAGCCATGACCCCCAAAGACTCCTTTTTGCCAGCGATCTTGTTCCCGCGCGGGTTAAACCAGTCGATATAGAGATCGAAGACTAGATGGAGTGAGGTTGGATCGGTAGTTTCATTGCTAGGCTGCTGTAAAGATTTCCAAGCCGGTGTTTGTTGGATATTGTACCATTTGTCGGTTGAACTCGCGGCAATCTCTTTGGTCCACAAATCAAGGCCATCTTCTGTGCCTGGCTTACTGAGAAACCACGACAGCCAAGATATGACTGACTGAGTTGTATAAATACACTTTGGAATGTCGGCATTGATCAGATCTTTTGCTTTGATTTGAGAAGGCTTCTTATGATAAACTCCGTTATCACAGATTGGGCGAAAATTTGAGGATTCTTTAAAAAGAGCTTGATTGCAAGGATCCGATTTGATACTTGCCTTGTAAGTACAGATTGATGGACATTGACGCGCAGGATAGATTGTGTAGCAAGTTCGGCAGCAGATACTTTTGGTGAGGTGAGGTGAAACATCTAGTTGCTTCATCGCAGTTCTGATGTCCTTAGGAATTATTTTGGAGACATTTGTTTTGGATGAAAGATGTCTGGAATCCTTGATGATCTCTACCACATAGTCCCTTGCTGTTCGACAGTTCTCACGACTGATCCCACAGTGTAAGTGAAGCCAGGCCAAGAATATCACAACAGTTCCTATCAAAACTCATCAGAAGATGGGTCAGATGGAATTGATTTGTTGGAGTTAGAAAAAGCAAGCTACTCATGTTCTTCTTTTTCACCATGAGTTTCATAGTCTTCACTATTGCTATTGCTCACAGCATCACTCTGAATGCTTTTGTCGGTATCATCAGACTTGTCATCATCTTCCAAGTTGAGATTCAGGATTGCTTGTCCGAGGGCTTCTTGAGAGTTTGCGTTAAAGTTGTCCGCTTGATGCTTTCAACAAGTACAATCTGTCACGTAAGTTCCGTTCTGTGCCTCTTGTTTGTCATTGGTGAAAGAGTTCTTGATACAGTGGGAACAAGTGCATATTACGAGGGTGGTCGGTGGCATTTGGTGAATGGCGTTCTTGGTAGGATGGTGGTGTAGTTTTGAATTAGGCTGGGTTGGATGAGCAGTTGCTGGTCGACGTCTGCCAGACGGTTGGCTTCATGGTTGACTTCAGAAAACCCGTGGCATACATCAAGCCCGGGTGTGCGTACGCCAAAGCTAGGGTTGACGTCAGCAACGGGGCCAGCCCGCGGCTCACGTCAGGTTGGCGTGAGCCTGGCGGGCGTCGGGGCTTTTCCTTCAGTGTCTGGAGCCCTTGTGGCTTGTCTAAGACCACATGACGTTGAGCCTCTCTAGGGTGCTATGGATAGCCTTTGTATAACTTGAAGTGTACCCCTTCTTTTTTCCAGTATTTTCAGCACAGCCACGTGTAAACACAAACATTTGCATTTTTTTCCTCATTTCAAGAGTCTCAAAACAATTGATACAAAAAAAAGACATAGCTTTGCAAAACAGAAAACATGAAATATCAAAATATCAAAAAAACTAGAAGACAATTGAAGATGATAAAGGACAAGAATATCATCAAAGTTTGAGATTGAAATCACATGGTCGATCCCTGGATAAGTGTACAAGGGCTCTGCTTCATGTAGAGGCCTCTGCAACAAACATTACCCACCCTATTCAAATACGGACAAAATAGACCTCCAAGCTGAAAATCAAATGACGAAAAAACTTATAAGTTATGGTAAAAACGAGGTAGCTAAGAAACCGTGACTTACTGTGGCACCAAGACAGTGAAAGAGAAGAGAAAAGAGGATTGAGAGCCAATTGCACTTGGTAGTGCAAGATTGGGAGATTGTACTTCTACAACTAAATGATAAAGCTACTTCAGATCAAGGCTACATAGTAAGAAGATAATGGAAAACATCTTACAAAGCGGTGATCTGTCCAAAGTGGGGTCCATATAATATAACAGGATATCCCAATAGATTCATAAATTTTCTAAGAACAAGAAATTTGTGAGGTTGATTATTTTACGTTGGAGGGAAAAGATGGGATTGGCTTACTCAAGTTTAGAATTTCCCCACTGGTAACCATACAAATTACCTTTATTACATATTTCACGACCACACCCAAGAAAAAAACCAACAACGAAATATGAACATAAAGTGAAGACATGATTTCCTTCAATGTTTGGGAAGGAACGGTTGGTTCCTTCACATAAATCGATTGCATTGTCGACTAAGCCTATCAAAATGATTGCAAGATAAGAGCCGGACCATTGGGAAAGCACGAATAGAACTGCAATGAGAAGATAAGACCTGCCCAATACCTGCAAGAGATGTAGAAACATAAGTCTATTAGAAATTTAAAACAAGATGATAGATACTCCCTAGAAAATTAAGTAATTACCTGTCGGTAAAAGGTAATTGTCGGGTTTATGTGGAAGCTCATACTAATAGCCATTAGTACAAGATGGCGACAGGAGATGAATCCGAGCCATCTCAAATTTCATTCAAAGAAGCCTGGTTGGTCGGTTCAAGCAGAAGTACAAGGTCAATAAGTGAAGTTGCAAACAAGTAGAGAATCACATACACGTTTTTTTCTCAACTAGGAAATGCAGGCCTAAGAACATGGATATTAGACCCTCCATGAAGATGCGTTCCATTGTACCAAATAACAATGATTGTGATACTCCATGGTTATCCACTGATTCTGAGAAGAACCAATTGAGGCATATGCTTGAATTGCTTTTGAAAAATTTGGACAAAGTCGTCTTGAAGCCCAAGAGTAAATGTTGAAGACATGATCCCTTTTCCTCAAGATTCACATTCCCACCAGCCTCCATAGCGTCAATGCTGGCAATACCAATTGAATTCCGGTTAACGATATGGAGACTTGATGGTATAAGATTGAATTCTGTCAACTGGTTTGTTGAGATATCCCCCTCAGTATTTGCTGATGCTGTTCTTTGGCGTACTTCTGACATTAGGATTGAAGTGAGTTTGTTGCTAGGTAAGGCTGGATCGATGAAAGTTTGGGAAAGTAGTGGATCAATCAAATTGTGGGAATAATTTGGTAATAGTAGTGTCAAGTCTTGACTCTCTATGTATCAATCAGATGAAAATTTAGAGGCAAAATAGCGTTCAGAATTTATTTCACAGGCAATCACATAAAATTCAAGAACTCACTGTGTCATTAGCTCAAAGATAGAGGATGTGTCTTCAGGGCGTTTAGATTTAGAAGTTGTGATCATGATTGCTGGTGGTAGTGGAATCTCAGGGCTTGTACGATTGGCAGAGATACATTGGGCAGTTCGAGATCGAATGGCAGCTGATTGTTGGTTTGACAAAAGGATGGATGGAGGCCAATATCTACTTTGTGATGGCCGCACTGGCAAGTTCCTGAAAACTGGAAATATTACTGTTGGACATGATTCTATTGTGTCCTGGGCCAATCAGGACGCTTAGTGTTGATAGAGCTGCAGGTCAGCTCTAGTCGCTTTACCCGGTCAAAGAACAAACCAAACTGATACCAGCATGACTATCAAAATATAAATACTTGAAGTTTCATGTCCTTTAATATCCAACCTTCCTCATACCATCATCAAAAACCACTTCACTTATCTCTCAGCTGACCCTTTTTTGATTTTCGTCTCATCAAAATTTAACCTCTTACTCCATCAATTCTCTCAATTCTCTACAACAATGCCCTACCCCATCCATCATTGTCAGTGGAACAGAGTAACGGCAACTATCCTCATATTCACAGGTATCGCAGTTTGTATATGCTCTGCCGATACCATACTCCCCCCCAGTACCAGTAAATAACGCTTTCCAACATCAAATCGCCTCCTTCATTGTTTTCCCCTGGTTATCAATTTGCTAACATCTTTGACTCATTAGTTACAGATTTTTTTCATCTACCTCCACAATCTGGATCCTCTCCTCCAGTGGTCCTCATGGTGAGTGAAGTTCTACTTTCACAATCATTCTATTTGAAAGTTACTGAACTCTATTCCTTCTCTAGACTCTCGGTACCACTCTGTAGGTTTCTGGCATATGCACTTCATTGCACGAATCAAGCTAAAGCACACTTTCTGTTTCTTGCATCCATATACAGGCTCGCATTCATCTATCCTGTCATGCTGGTCTTCATCGGTTTTTATCATCTATCCCATCTTTTGAGCACAACTATATTACATATCATCTCTCTATATGTACTATACGGCTGGAAAGGATTTGTCGATCCTATGTGGCCACTCAGGATGTTAGTCCTCCATGTACCACTGATAATGGTACGCTTTGACCGGTTACCAATTACTCTAGTATCCTCAACCCACTCTTACCAAGTTGATTTTTCATTCAAATAGGCTTTTAACCTACTTCATAGTGGTCTCACTGGACGCACACCGAGTGAAATGCAAATGTATCGGGATTTTCATGAGGTCTTGAATCATTTGGAACAACATGACATTGTTGAATCGGAGAAGGAAAGGAATTTGATCGATTTAGCTTGACGGATAAAACCAACATATTCTCCACTTTTTCCTGCAAACTACCCTATGACAACTTCTTTGTATTAGTACCTGATAGTGCTTTTGTAGCAACATTTTTTAAAACTTTCTTCAGCCGATTTCTCTTTTTTTTAAAATTTTATCATTTTTGATGTTTCCAAACTAGTCTCCTTAATCATCTAGACTCAATTTCGAAATGCAAAGTAGAACGATTTGGATTGAACTTCGTGAATGACTTTGATTGTTCTCGTTTTTGAGTTCTTGGTTTTATTTTTGTGCATGATCAAACTTCTACATTAGAACAAGGTCAAGATCAAACATTGTAAGTTTTTGATTTGATCATCATCATTCATATTAAGAGCGAACCATCAATTCAAACAAAACTCGAAAAAACCTCCACTTTTCAGCTGGACAACTGGGAGTTTTTGCCTGCCGAAGTTTCGCCCTCGGGAAGATAACTTTCCAACCTCACATGTATGATCACTATCTCTTTTCTGTGACGTAATGAGTGCTTTACAGTATGCAACTGCTCAGTGATTCACGCTTACCACATCCCCATCAAACCAGAAGTCAATAATCCATCTCGCCATCATATCAAATCAATCATCATTGGAAGAACAGATTTATTAACATCATCATCAAGTGAACTACTTCACCCTCAAAATCAAATCACCAGTCAGACTTCTCATTTAAATTACTTATATTACTATTATTAATAATATCAGATCAATACTATCACATCCAAATATATTACTTATTTTGATCATTAGTTTATCTTTCATTTAAAAGTTTTGAATAATGGATTTTTAACAAACAAAACTGATTCTAAACTCATTGAACCTCAAACTGTTTACCCTGGAATTGGTATTGGGAAACGTTCAAAATCAAAATCAAAATTTCATCTTCAGTTGGTTTTGTATGCGAATTGATATAGAAAGTCTACAAGAACCTTTTCATCCAAATGAAGTTGAACCACAATTTACATGAAGAAGTTGAAAGTTCTATTTATCTTTATTAGGACCCAATTTAACTGAAACCCCTGATTTAGTTATGTTTAATTCTGGCTTATGGGATTTAGTTTATAGATCAGAAGCATCAGTCTATCATTCAAAACATAGTTCAACTCTATTTAAACCAACAATAGGACGAAGATTAACAAACCAAGAATCACCAGAATATGAAAAGGCTCTTGAATTTTCTTCAAGTTTCACCAACATTTTTTCCTAATCGAAAAACGAAATCGGTTCCGAGAACGATCCACTTTTCACCGATCCGATCATCAAAACATGGAAGAAGGCTGGTTGAAATTGAGATAGCCATGTGTAGATTAGTAGCAAAGAGGACTCGATGTCAAAAGCCGAGTTGGTCAACTTGGACAAGATGAACCCAATCAAATCGTCTTGGTGATCAAAGCTATTAAAACCGTGTTTGATTTATTATCCTCATCAATTTGAATCACAAGCCAAGTTAGCAGAAGGAAATTTGATCTACAATGAAATGAATTTGTTGGAATCCGGAGCCAAAGCGAAAGAACTCAAGAGAGAAAGAGAGGAATCAGATTTAGATCGAGTCAATCAAAATGGAATTCAAGTGGATGGAAATTCGAATGAAGAGATCAAAATACCAGAAGCAATCTTTAAATCGTATTGTCCATGTTTGAAATATAATGATCATGATCATTCATTTCCAATGAATCAACCCAGTCCTGAATCTGTACCTCAATCGATCCTTTTAAGATGTCAAAAGAAGGGACCAAGAGATCATTTGAACTTCTTAATTCCAAATATTCAACTTTCATCATCAATCAATCATCATCATCATCATCATTGATTAATTGCCTTAACTCTTTTTATTGATCTGATCACCACTTGGCCATCTGTGATTCGTAAAATACTTGACACTACCTTGATTCCAACTTGATTAGATTGCTTAATTCAATCGGATCTGAACTCTTCTTAATTTGAACCTCAACTTATTCAACTTATCATTAGATCAATCTTGGTCATCTTTTCTAGAAGTCCAACTTCTTTTGACTAATGTTTAATTGAATCGTTTATCAGATTTGGTGAATCAGTGATGTGACTTAGTGAATAATCGACATATTAAAGTTTAAGCTTATCAAGCTTAGATTATCTCAATTGACCCTATAGTCTCTTTCCTCTCCACTTTTTACAATTCGCACAATGTCCAACTTCATGCTTGAAACCGATTATTGAACAACTACAAGAACAACAAATCATCATTGAATTATTCAATTTGAGTATTTCATTTGAAACTTATTCATAAAGTTGTTCCGTCTCTGGTCACAAATTGGGGTTTTGAGTGGAGTTTGGTAACTGATGAACTTTTAGTTGTTTTTAAATATGGTCCATTTTAATCCTGGTAAAGCTCAGTGGCGTAAGTTCTCTTTCTTTTGAATTTTTCTGCCTGTTGAAATTGATCTTGATTTGATTTTGGGAGTTTGAGAATCAGTTTTTGCTGAGCTGTGACTTTATCAACTTGTAAGAATCATCCTAGGTGATGATCATCAAACAACATGGCAATTTTCATTTCAGCACATTGATCTCAATTGTCCAAGACCCTCCTCGCTTGCAAATTCATTTTGCCCCGGTAAGTTTTCTATCTTATATCCTTTTCACTTTTTTGATTTGTCCTTCTTTCTTGATTGTTTATGGTTTTATCAATTGTTAGTTTTATGTGTCCTTTTTTGACAAGTTGTAAGTACACTTTTCACAACTTGCCTTCTTCAACTACTTATCCACCTCCTGTCACTGGTCAATCTTTTGGCTTCTTTATATATCAATAATCAGCTGGCCTTTATTTTATGATTTTTTGATTTTGATTGATCCAACTTGTTTTCATCAGTTCATTCTCTCCATCCATGTTTGTTTGCACTGATTTTTAACTGATGTTAAATTCTTGACAATTTAGTTTAATATGATTGGTTTGTTGCAAGCTTGGAATTGTCTGCTACCTAGGTCAGTGATTTTCTCTTTGTTTTGTTTGGTTTAATTGCAGTCATATTGATCATGATTTTGAGCTTTCATTTGTATATATAGTTGTTTGCCATCTGACTACAAACTGGTATGATCAGTGAGATGAAGCCCTTGTGCAAGCAAAGTGGCACAGGTTATTTATCTCAGATCAATTGTAGTACTTTATTTACAAAACAGTGATGCAGTCAGTATCCAAGAGTACTCTTACTTTTTAAATGAGACAAAATATATATTCAAATGTGTTAGCTTCATTGAGTGAGCTATTGATAAAGAATGACTCTGAGTATGATCAGTGCTGACTCAAATTTATCTCATATAATATCCATTTGAGTTCTTGCTCAGTGAGGGCTATCTCTTACTAAAGCACTCAGTTTGTCTTCCATCAAACATTGTAATAAGAGTTGTGAAGCTAAAAATCGAAGAAACTTTCCATATTAATGGTGAGAAGAGTGGATTAAGAAAAAGAACAAGAATGAGGAAACCCAACATCAATTGTTCTAATCGCAGATTCAGATCAGTTCAGCTCCTGCACAACTTGAAGATTTTTGATCATCTTGTAGATAAATGTGCACTCAATGAACACAGATAAAGGAAAACTCAATACACTGAGAATGGAAAATACAGAACATCCCACCAAACATCCAGAAGATTTAATATAAGACCAAAGTTTGACTTACTACCTTGCATCAAATTGATGCTTTTCAATTATTGTAAAGGTTGTGATGATGGCACAAGAAATAACCTCAGTCCATTTTGTGAGAAAATGAGGGATGACTGCTAAGATCTAACCCCCAAGGGTTTGAGATTATTACACAATCATCAGTTGTGAGATCAGCCAGACTTTCTGTGTTGCTACTGGTCCTGTTGTGGTGGTTTCCCACTCAACTTGTTCCTCTCTTCCCAGTCTCAACTGTTGATCTTCCAATCTCATCCTTGCAATCTTAGTTTTCCATCTCTGTTTTCTTTCTTGGTTCCTTGTACCCTTACAAGTCCTTTTCAAACCCTTTTTTTTGGAAGAGAAAACAATCCCTTCACCCATAGCTCAAAGGGTCTCCTACCCCTTTTGTCTTGCTGGCACAGGAAAGTGTGGACTTGGAAGTCGGCACTGTTATGACCCAGTGATGATCAGTCTCACTTTTTGCTAGGTGTTAGCATACCTGTAGCTGCACAGACCTCTGAAGATAAGTGCCACACTCCAGCATCAAACAATACTTTGTGTAATCATAAGTATTGGGAGATAAAAGCACTTTTAGCTCTTCTCTCCTAAACTTTCCATTGCCCAAGGTTTTTGATGAAGAAATGGACTGGCTACCATTGGGTGTGAATTTGTACCTCAGCTGTGATGAGATCAATGTCTTTGAATATCACCTCCTCATTGTTTTTCCTGGCACTCCTCTTTGTATCTTCACTCCTTAGATGGATTAATTTTGATTTTATACAGAGCCTAAATCAGAAGACACCATAAATATGATACACAGACACAAAATATATGCACAAGGTTCAAAAGGGTATCACCAGATAATTGTATTGCATCATTGTACTTCATGTGTGTAGATCCTAATACATGAGACCAATCAAAGGTTATTGCTTACAGTGGAATAATGATCTTTTCTAAGTTTGACATTTGATTGTTTTGAAATTCATGAGAACACAACTAAAATTGATCAATTGAAAGCATCACAGCTGCAAGGGATTTGGTGTTTATGACTTCTGAGTTGTACCTCTAATATGTTTCATTCTTTGTGGTGTTTTTGATTCCACATATAACAGTCAGTGTATATGTATCAAGTTTATTGTTGAGCACAACAATAGGGGGTTTTAAGTTTGTTTGTTTTTTTGCGCAAAATATGTAAATCCGGACAAGTTGTCCATAAAAAATTCTCCATAAAACCAACATATTTTTATTTTGGGACACCTAAACAGGTGTCCTGCTTCTAAGATCTTATGCATATTTTACAACAACAGGCAAGTTGTTGTAGCATAAAAATACATAAGAAAAACTGCAACTTGAAACCCCCTAATGTATAGAACAGTTGTTTTTTGTCACACAACCAACTCAGTTAAGCTTGCCCAGTGGAAAGTAATGTAGGCCCAGTCCCACAACCCATGTATTGGGTACGGCAATGTGCTATGGGTGGGGCTGCTGTGATTCAAGTCCAGTATTTCAGGTGCTTTTCCCAAAGAAAGTTTCCCAGTAAATGGCTCCCAACTGCACTATCTTGGACCCTACCTCCAATATATGATAAATGCCTGTGGGCACCATGTCTGTGTTTCTCCTTATATATTTTTTTCTATGTATTTGCACATAGGCAATTCAATCTGCTGTGGATAAGTGATCAGCCTTGAATATTACCTTGAATCCAAAGATAAAAAGAGAAGAAACTGTAGAGGGAATTACAATGATTGACAAGCAGAATCTTCAGAAGGATAAGGACCAATGGAGGAACAGGGGGGTTTTTCCATTCCAAAATTACATCTATCTCTAAGTGCCAGGTGTGTCACTTTCTACCACTGGCCCTTTCATGTTCTCTGTATTCCACTTCCTTTTGCTGCCCCTAGCATCTCCCTGACAGACGCAATGGACTATGTTACACCCGGCACAAGCTCCAAGAACACTAACAATGTCATCATTTTGTAACTCTTCCTTAGTGACCATTAATTGAATCCCAGCCTAATTGATTTGAAAAACTTTACATCACCTGAGAAGTACAGATGCTTCGGTATGTAGCCGACCCTAACCGTATACTGTACGGTCGGCTAGTTGCCGATGAAACCTGCCAGATGCTTGCAGGCGAGTCAGACGATCACCTTAAAGGCACAACATCAAGTTGTACTTTTAGATTTTTGTTTCTCACTCTCAAATTCGTCTATTTTCTGATTTTGAACCACTCAAGTATGCGGGAAACATGTTTTACGTTCAGTTGAAAGATTTCAGGATCCAAGCGCCAAAATTCAGATGCAGAGGCAGATGCATCTGACTTTACACGCCATATACACATCTTCACAACCAGATTCATCTGTATGGTAACTCTGCACAGCAAGTACAATACCAGATGAATCTGGATATGTACCAGTAAACCAGACCCGTCTGCCTACATCCGCAACACATCAAAGGTGAAAGTAACCAGACACATCTGGATACCCACACCCATATCCAGATGCATCTGGCTACAAATACACTACGTGTTATTTTCACAAGCAGATGGATCTGCTTGTGTACACTACATCCAGTATGATCCATCTGACTCATGACTCGAGACAACAAACCAGATGAATCTGGATATGGACTGACACATCTGGTCACTTCCACTTTCTGAATCAACCAGATGCATCTGGTGACTTACACACCGAGATATGAAGTCAATTCTACATATACAAAATAAATACCAGATGTGTCTGGCTATATCAGCCTCATCGCAAGTTAAAACAAGCAGATGTGTCTGGGTATTAGCAAACGGTCTCACTTGGCAATCTCAACACAAGACATTAATTTCAGCTCAGCATGTAAGACTCATTCAACACAAGGACAGTAGACTAGAATACAAGTATATCCGGTGGCATAAATGCCAAGTCCATTGCGTTCTGATACGGTTCACCTAAATCGTCCCTATTCAGCCGGTGCTCTTCAAAGTCCTCCTCATCAAGGCCTTCGGCAAACACAGGATCGCCGTTGATCATACATACCCATTGCTGACGGTTCCGATCCATCAAACCTTTCCAGCGTTGTGCAAGAGACACATTCGCTTCTGCTGGATTATCACAATAAATATTTGTCTTATCAAGTAATAAAGGGATCTCGTCATCCCAAACCATCCACCTGCGGCAGTATGTACG